TAGAATAATAATAAAAAAAAGAACTTTGCATTGAATTCACCAAAAGAAAAAAAAAAGAAAAAAAAAAAAGAGAAAACAAAGGATTTACGAAATCTCGAGAAAGAAAGTAGATGATTTAAATGTCGGACATATTTAACATCATTTTTCATAGTACGATTTATCTCATATTAGCTAAAAGCACTGTCAAGTGGCACCTCTCTCGCCTTTCTTACGTACTATGATACGCTCCTGAAACATTACCAACGCAAAAGGGACGAACATTTTTCCCTCGAAAAATCGGGTAATATATTCGGCCTTAAAAGTTCCACGAACGACATCTTCGTCGCCCTCTCTCTCTCTCTCTGCATCATCCAAAAATTTATTATAGTGTTCCGAGAGATAATGAAAAAAAAAAAGAAAAAAAAAACATAAAAAATCCTATGTACCGCAAGATCGTCTCTTAAAACATGCACAGACACAGTGTTAAAAATGGTGTTAAATTATATAAGAATCTTCATCGAAACTTTCGATATCGAACATTCTTTAAAGGTTTAACCACTCATGCTGTAACCTAACGAAAAAAAAAATATTTAAATTAAATTTGTATCGATATAAGAATAATATTAATAATAATAATAATAAAGGATAGATTTGATCTAAAAAAAATTATAGGGGTGATAAAAAAGATTACAAAAGTGAACGAGAAAAACGATAGATTCAATTTGTAAAAAATATTGAAATATTGTGTTACTTAATAATTAGTATCGAAATGTTTATTAATTTATATTTAAAAAAATAACATTGTAGTATTTTTTTTATATTGAAAAAATCCAATATTTTAAATGTTAATTAAAATAAATTATATATTTATTATTATTAATAATTATATTAATTTAAAATAATATTAAATTAATATAAATATTAATAATAAATTCAGATATTAAATATTAAATGTAATATTATTTATTTGATAAATATTAATATAATATTAAATATACTAAATATTATTTATTATTTTAATATAATTTTTTTTTATAATTAAATATTATATATAATTATATAATTTTAATATAATTTTATTATAATTAAATATACTAAATATTAAATATAATATTAAAAATAATATCATTTAATATTTAGTATCTAAATGAATTAAATATGTTACAAAGTGTTTTGTAAACTGTGCTAAACTTTTTAATATTTATATTGAAAACGTCCAATAATTTAAACATTAATAAGAATAAATTATATTACTTATTATTAATATTTATATTAATTCAAAAATATATTTAACATTTACTATTTAAATAAATTATCAGTTGCCAAGCGTTTTATTAACTGTAAAACTTTGTAATATTTGATATCTAAATAAACAACATTGTGCTATTATTTATATAAAAGATTTTGACGTTACTTATTGACAAATCTCGAATAGTTTCTTACTATAATATTAAACTATAAAAGCGAGAAAATAAATAAAATAAGAAAAATATGAGAAATCCAAGAAAGTCGTGTCAAGAGGATAGACTGGTTCGACTTTAAGCTGATCTAGACTAAAAGCGGAACAAAGTTCGAAGAAGGAGATAAGGTCTCTTGACGAAGCAGCAACACAGCAGCAGAGGCAGCCGGATGCTGGGCTCTTTGGCTCTTCCTGTGGGATATTCCTCTCTTCCCTATCACGGATACATCGCGGTCATTCGAAATCATGTCAAAAGAATAAAAGACGAGAAAAATCTTATCTCAATCAAGAAATTAAATCTGATTTATTTGTTATTAATAATTTAACACTAAATTTATCACGCGTTGTTAAAATAATCGTTTTTTATCAATTGTAAATTATATTTAATAAAATTTGTAAAAAAAAAAAAAAAAAAGTAAATAATGCACTGGAAACTGCAACTGAAAAATATAAATTATTCATTTCTAAATAAAAATTATCTCTCAAATTTCATTTTATATTAAAAATATATGTTTTATGATAACAACAGTAATAAATAAAGTGTCGATAAGTTTAATATTAAATAACAAATATTACATATTTACATAATTGAACAAATTTCATCAATATATTATATAATATAATATAACGTTATAAAAATTCTAGAAAAATATTCTTTCGAAAAATTATAATTTATAATAGAATTAATAAAAATGAAATAGAAAAAGAAAAAAAATGATCTGAAACTTTTAATCTTCGTAATAAAAAAGGTGAGATAAAGAAAATACTCTCGAGAAGAAAAGTCATCTTCTTTCGAAGCTAACGCGAAGTGTTGCAAAGTCGATTTATCATCCTGCTACGTCCAGTGAACGTCTAAGCTCGACTGACTTTTTCTATGAAAAAGAATTTCGCTTATATAACACACACATACATATACACATATATAGAAGGAGCACATTCTTACATATATATGTACATGCATGCATATTTACAGTTAGTAGAAACACACAATCGAGATTCAAAGTGAAACTGTAAGCTTAAGGGGACCTTCTACACTGCAATTTAAAAAAATTTATTTTTTTTTTTTTTTATCATTTTTCGAATGTATATATATGTAGAAATATTGTGTTAAAATTTCAAAAAGATCCGATGTCTCTAACTACATTTTTGGTGCCTGAACCTAACTACTTCCTGAGCGT